AATTTATTACTTCTGCTATATATATATATGAAACATATATAATCTTAATGAAATAGGTCAAGTTCTTCAAATACGTTCATTTAATATTATTAGAGTTTGGTTTCAAATATAAATGGATTATATATAGGATTAAATACTTTCTTGAGATTTAATACTTAATTATTGGTTGTTTATCTATGAAAATTATACTAAATTAAAATTATCTGAAAGAATTAAAAAATTATGATTGAATTTATAAATTTAGATTTCTACTTCCTATAGTATTAGTATGAGATATAATTAATTTTTCTATATATAATAATGAAAAAAATGGAGGTTTGTAATATTATCATTTAAGAGAAAGTCGAAATTTAGAATACAATAAGTTGTATTTTAATAAAAACTAGAAATCTAATTGAAGATGATGTGACTTTATATACTTTTCGAGTCAAAATTATTTTTTAGATTTAATTCAGAATCATAAATTTCATTTATTTCATCCTATATTCTCCTTTTGTAATTTGGTATTATAATTATAAAATATTATTTATTTTAGCTTTTATCTAAATTATCACTGTTCTTTTATGATCCTTCGATAAGTTAAAATAATGAAGAATCCTTAAAAAAATTTCCATTTAAAGTTCTTCCTTTAATTTATTTATAATGATTATATACTAAATATCATTATTCTTGTAATGGACTGAATTTATTATTTTGTTATCTATCTTTTTCTTTATAAATACTTAATCATTTGAAATTAGATAAGGTAATACTTTATTTTTCAATTATTTTAATTTTGGACTTAAAATGGAAAATAGTATTTTAAACAAAATTTTAGTGTGATGAAGGAAAGTGAAAAATAATAGACTCTATTACCTCACTATAATCCTTATATGGAACAAGCATTTTGTTGAGTAAGTCTTTCATAAATTCAATCCAATATATTGAAGCTGATGAAAATATTATTAAACAATTGCAAATTATTCCACAAAAAAATACTAATGCAATATCATTTTCAAATGAGACAATCTAGAAATTTAAGGAAATTCTTAAATTTCAAATTAAGGATACAATGGATTAGTAATAATCATGGTTGCAAAAAAATGGAAATGTTTCCTTAGGAATTGATTATTTATAGAAATTTATTCTTTCTAAAAATTTAAGATGTCAACTTTATTCTCCATTTGCTTTGACTTAGTAGCAAGAGGAGAAATTTTAAATTTAAGAGGAATAATTGAATTAGGTAATATTTTACTAGAAAGTAAAAAAAGACAGTAAAAAGTGAAAAAGAGAATTAATAAAAATAAAAATATTTGATGGGAAAGATTCCAGTATTGTCAAAATAAATTAATAAATATATAGTACTTTTACAATTTGAGTCATAAACATTTTGGATTCTATAATAGTTTTGAAAATCAAACAAATTAGAGAAAGTAATAACCGAAGTAGTAGTTTAAATAAATTAGTCTAAAAAATTAATTAATTTTAAATATATTATCTTTTCATTATTAAGATTTAGGATGGATCTAAAATTAAATAATATTTCTAGTAAATAAATTATAGATTAAAGCTTTTTTTATGAGAATACTTCTTCAAGTCAATCCTCCAGAAAGTAATAAAACCTTAGTTAAAGTTCTAGTCGGGCCAGATTAGCTAAAGAGCCTGCAAATTTCCAGATTTTCTAACATGCATTTACTAATTTATAATTCTTCAAATAGTTTTTTAAATGACTCTTCTAAACAAAAATCTTGATTAGTATTTACTAAGTAACTTTGAAAAATGGGATATTAGAATAGGTTAACCGCGAAGGGAACTTAGGTAGATATGTCTTTTATTGGAATGGCAATGTTAAGCTGGAAGCCATACTTAATATACATTTATGTCAACTTTAGAAAATAAAGAAACATTCTTGACTGGATTGGATATTTATAGAAAGTTCTGGGTGTATTTATTAGAGATTTTAATAAAAACTTTAAATCCCTAAAATCCTAATTTGAAATAAAATTAATTATAAAATTTAAATAATTAATTATGTCTTATTTTTATAAACAAGATTGATTAATTATTTAAATAAGTTTTATCATAAATTATTTATTATAGAATATACCGATCTGATTGTTGAAAAAATAATCCCATAAAGTAATAATATTAGAAGAAAAATAAGATAAAGAAAACAATTATTATTGTTAATCTAAAATCAAGAATATCTGTATGTAGAAAATCCTATATCAATTAATTTTTTTTGAAATACATCCTTTTTTAGTGAATAATTATAATTGATGATAAAAAAATGATGAATATTCAGGTATCGATTATCTATTATTAAAAAATTATCAATTTTTATAATTATTGTGTAGTTAATTATAAATATATCAGAATTTCAAAGTAATGATATTGGCTTTAAATAACTTCAAACCTTCTTAATTAAGAATTAGATGTTTATCATTAAGATTAAATTCTTAATTAATAAAATCCAATATTTAATCATGTCTCTATACATTCTTCCAAATTAGTTAAAAATAAAATTCATTATTTGAATGTACAGGAATCTGGTTAAAACTTACTTAATTATTAACTAACTGAATTTTTTGAAATTTATTTTGATTGCTAGATTTCTAAACTGGGGTCTAATCAATTGATGTGAAAGGAGAAATATTGTTAAAATTTATAAATTTTTCTTAATCCTTAATTTAGAATTGCTTAACATAACCTTTTCTTTTTAAATTTTCTTGCTAAAATATTGAATAGTCTTTTAATGTAGTTAAAATTTGATTTGAGTTTGGATGTAATTATTTAATATTAAACTCACATTTTCACTTATTGAGAGAATAATTTAAAGAAAAATTTTAAATATTATGAAAATTATGGATAAATAATTATATTAAATAATAATTTTTTAAATTACCAATCTAATTACTTGATAATCATTATACAAATTCCTTATCATGTACCAAACTATTAGGTTTATTTATGTAATGTCTTAACTAAAAGTTATCACCAATCTAACTCTCAAGTTTCCTCAGCTAAGGATTACCCAATCCATATTCATGAGCTTTTCCAAGAGTGTTTATTTAATCTAGTCTATTTTAACTACATCCCATAAGATGTATACACTTTTTAATTATAGTTCTTTGAAGATTAACATAAAGTTCAAGTTATAAATTAGTAAAATGGAACTTTTATCATATGTTCGTTATTTTCTCAAAAATTTATTCTTTCTTATTAAATTCACTTTGAAAGCTATTATTTCTTAATTATCCTAATATCATTTTAATGGTAGATTGATTCTATTATTCTTAGATATTTATATCATCATGATTAATAATCAGGGTTCGTTAATCAAAGATTTCATTTCCATTTAAGAAATGTTCAAAAGGGTCATTTATCTAATAAATTTTATGAGTAATATAGTTTTAAAATACATTTTATATAATTTTTTATTGAACTATTAGTTAATGTTAGTAAATATGACAAATTCTCCATCTTGATAATCCTATTCGTTCAGAATAGAGGCTTAAGATAATACAATTTTTGATGTTGCATGTTATAAATATCTGAAATTTAATTTACTATTTACAAATGAAATTTATAATTCTTGGTTTTTAAATTAAAGTAAAAATTAGAAATAGTTCTTTCAAATCTAATATATTTCTGTGTAGACTAGTTCTTGGATTAATTATTAAAATATTTGAGGAGATGAATATTCAGACAGATATTGATAATTCATGAATCATTTATTGAAAAAATAAATAATTGAGTAAAATGATTTAAATTTTCTATGATGAATGATTGATGAGAGAAGAATTAAGACATTAAATTGATGATTTCATTCTGAAAATGAAATCTATAATATTTATTTTAAATGAATAATAAAATTTTTGAACATTTCTAATTTGATCATTCATAACATTATCCATATATTTTTTTTTAGTTTTGCTTCATTTACACAAGGTTTTTTGATTGTTATAACTAAATTAATATTAAATAGAATTAACAAAACAATTTTACATAATAAAAATCAATATTGTTCCTTTGAATTGAATTTATACACCAGGTGATAAATTTTTCAAAGAAAATAAGTGTAGAGATAAAATAACAAAAAAGATTAAATGATGTTTAAAATATTTATATATATATAAGAAATGCTAAACATAAAAAAGTAAATTATGGATTTTTAGGTAATTGAGTCATTTAGAATCAATAATTTCTTGATTATATTGGATTAATCAAAAGAGTATTTTTATGAATTTTTATTAATATAGAAGACTAAAATATAAATGAGGAATAACCATGGTTAAGATATAATTCAATGTTAAACTAAATTTAAAGTTGAATGGATCATTTTGAAAAGTAATTATAATTCATCATTTCAACAAAGAGATTTCAATTAAATAACATTAAATTTACCAATAAGCAATAAAGAAGTTGATATATAAATTAAGCACAACTGGCATGATGAATTTTATTTAGTTTGAAACATAATTAAATCATATTTTGACCTATCAGATCTCATCCAAATTAATAGTCAAATTAATTCAGCTGACTTATATACTTTTTAGAAATATTTAAATAGGGTATATTGAATGTAGGAAAATGAATTATGAATAAAAGGTAAAGGTAATGGTAATTTGAACATTTATCTTGTAATTTTTAATATTAAATTCATTATTTAATTGTCTATCATTTTAAGGTTATTATTGAGTAATATATTTGACTAATTAATCTACCTCAGCAAAGCCTAGAAGAGATGAATAATATTTAGTTGAGTGAACATGAAATTTTTGAAAGGTTTTATAGTTTAAAAAAAAAAAATATCATACATCGTAATAAAATTATTTAATAGAATTTCAAATTATTAATATAAGGGTGCATTTGGATATAAATTAGATATTAAATATTAAAATATGATTTAGTAATGTAATTTAAAGTTAAAATGTTAAAAAGATGATCATTAAGATGAGATAGACACGGTTTGTTACAATTATTTTTGTTAAGAATTCAGATTAAATTGCTTTAAATGTATGAAGAAGGAAAGAATCCATAATGATCATTTTAATGATGTTGAAAAAATTAACAGCTTGGTTCAATTCATTGATTAGAAAAATTAAGAATGTGATAAATTAATAGATGATCTTAATAAATTAGAAGAAATTATGAATCAATCATTTTCTTAATTAAAAAGAGGAATCATATAAAAATATTAATTATATAAGGAGAGATTAGTATAATTGAATTCTTAATAAATTAATGATTATTTGAATTCAACTATCTAATTTAAAGAATATTAATAATCAATCACAAAAATCATTTAAGAATAGACTAATAAATTAAATCACTCATTTAATAATTTATATGAATAATTAAAATTATCATAATTTAATTATTATTAGATTGATAATAATCCTATATAATAATCTAAACAATTATATGATAAAGGTATTCATCTTATTATAATTATTAGGTTAGAAATTATTTTTGGAATATAAATACGATGAAGCCATAAAAGTACTAGATAAATCTATATAATAAGATCCTAATAATCATCAATCATTGTGGTGTAAAGGTTAAATAATAATTTAATAAATAGGTTCATGCTTAAGATTATTAACTAAATATGAGAATGCAATCACTTGGTATGACAAAGCATTAGCTATTGATTCGAACCATGTTTTATCTTTATGTGGAAAAGGTAGATTGCATCATAATTTAATCAATAGGTGATTGCTTAAGATTATTAACTAAATATGAGAATGCAATCACTTGGTATGACAAAGCATTAGCTATTGATTCTAAGCATGTTTTATCTTTATTTGGAAAAGGTATATTGCATCATAAGTCAATTAATAGGTTAATGCTTAAGATTATTAAATTAATATGAGAATGCAATCACTTGGTATGACAAAGCATTAGCTATTGATTCGAAGGATGTTTTATCTTTATTTGGAAAAGGTAGATTGCATCCTAATTCAATTAATAGGTGATTGCTTAAGATTAATGAAAAAATATGATGAATCTTTAAACATATTAGATTAAGCACTATCCATTAATCCACAACATTACTTATCTCTTGAATCCAAAGGTATAATATAATCGTAATTATTAGGTTTATGTTTAGAAGATCAATAAAAATATAAAGAAGCTTTAATTTATTATGAAAAATTATTAAAGATAAATCCAAATGATCAATGGACAATAAACTAAAAGAGTATTTTGTTAACATATTAGATTAGAAATTTGTGAGAATAAATTGAAGCAATGAGCATTTAATATAAAAAATAATTTTTTTATTATTTCTTTTTCAAATTACTTTATTAAAATAATATTTAAATTTTTGTTCAGAAAAAACTTTTATGATAATTCTATTTATA